ACCAGGGGGGCCCCCCCGGAGCCCAGCTGGGGGGTGGGGGCTGTCGAGTACATGTAGCTGAAGAGGCGCTCGATCTTCCTCAGGGGCACCCCCATGCCCCTGTCGCTCATCTGGGGACACCAGAACAGGTGACAACCCCATCCCTGTGCCCCCTCCCCACACTCTGCCATCCCCCAGGGTGGGCAGGGGTCCCTCACCCGGATGGACAGGTCCTCCTGGCCCAGGGCCACCATCACCCTGATGGCCGGCAGCCGGGGGCTGTTCTCGTGGCTCTCCACCGTGGCTCTCATGGCATTCTGGGGACACAGAGCCCCGCGGGGGGCGGGTCAGAGGGTCCCCCACAGCACCCCCAGAGCCCCCCAAAGGGCTGGGCTACCTTGAAGAGCTCGAAGAGCATGTGGTACAGGTGGGACGGGACGTAGACGATGCTCACAGGCTGCTCCGCGTTGCAGGCTGGGTGAGGGGACAGTGGGATTGGTGGGGACAATCCTGACCCCAAACCTGCCCCAAGCCCTAAATGGGTCACCCGAGAACCCCCACACCACAGGGACCCCCAAACCTAGATAAGCCAAGTATCCCCCAACCCTAAAGGAGCTGAGAACCCCCTGGAATGGGGACCCTCACCCCAGAATGAGCCACATAAAAATACCCCTGCTCCAGGGTCTCCAACCCCAAAGGAGCCACCTGAGAATCCCCAACCCCAAAGGAGCCACCTGACAGCCCCCAACCCAAAGGAGGCACCTGAGAATCCCCAACCCCAAAGGAGCCAACTGAGAGCCCCCAACACCAAAGGAGCCAACTGAGAGCCTCCAACCCCAAAGAAGCCACCTGAGAGCCCCCAACCCTAAAGGAGCCACCTGAGAGCCCCCAACCCTAAAGGAGCCACCTGAGAGCCCCTAACCTCAAAGGAGCCACCTGAGAATCCCCAACCCCAAAGGAGCCACCTGAGAACCCCCAGCTCTAAAGAAGCCACCCATGATCCCCCTGCCCAGGCCCCATTGTCCCTTCATCTCCCTGTCCCCTCAGCCCCCTGTCCCCCCACTGCCACTGTCCCCTCACCGTTGACCTCCTCGATCTCCAGCTCAGGTGAGGCCATGTAGTATTTGTCACACAGCAGCTTGGCCATGTTGTAGGCATCTGGCAAAGAGGAGGGACAGAGGGCTCAGCACCCCCAGGACCAACAGGGGCAGCCTTTGGGGTCCCCCCACCCCCAAACACTCCCCATTCCTGGGGTCACCTGCAGTGACTGCACAGCTCAGGGGACAGTGTGACTGAGGCTACCCCAAACCTGTGACATGAGTGGTCCCAGGGGGGGCTTTCAAGTAACCCCCACCCCCAAACTGCCCCCAGATGCTGTGGGGTTGGACCCCAGACCCCCCCAGACCCCACCAACCTCTCACCACGTTGGCCACGTTGCAGTGGGGGTCGATGCTCCCGATGTGTTTGGGGTGCGCGGGGTTGGTGCTGCCATCGAAGAGCAGGGCTGGGGAGGGGACAACGAGCTGGGGACACCCCAGGGACACCCCCAGGGCACCCAGGGGCTGTGGGGGGAAACATCTGACACCAGGGAGATGCCCAACCAAGACAGGATCCCTGGGGTTAGTGGGGACCTTCAGGATGGACCCTTGGGGTTGGTGAGGATGCTCAGGACAGATCCCTGGGGTTAGTGGGGACCCTCAGGATGGACCCTTGGGGTTGGTGAGGACCCTCAAGACAGACCCCAGGGGTTGGCAGGGACCCTCAGGATGTACTCCTGGGGTTGGGAGGACCTCTGGGACAGACCCCTGGGGTTGATGGGGACCCTCAGGAAAGGCCCCTGAGGTGGGTGGAGACCCTCAGAACAGACCCCTGGGGTTGGCAGGGACCCTCTGGGGACACCCAGTGATGATGGGGACCCTCAGCACAGGCTCCTGGGGCTGGGGAGACCCCTGGGGTTGGTGGGGACCCTCAG